AACCTTCCACAGCCTGCAGTTCAGCGTCTTAACCACTTGAGCCACCGCAGCTCCTGTCTTAGCTGTGTGTATAATCAGACCAGCGGTCTGCTAGGTTAGACCAGTGGTCCTTCTACTCCAGCCTCCGATTTCAAACAGTGGCCAACCGGCTGATCCTGGAGGGCCAATAAGCAGGGCACAGAGACCAAGGTCCTCCCTTTATGTTACTTTCTAGCATTTGGATTCAGAGCCTTACTATCTCTGAATATGGAGGATCCCTTTACTCACCAGGGCTGGGCTAGTAAGCATTCATGAACCCGTGCTCCCCGAATCTGCCTCCCATCTATGCTAGTGGCCATCACTACATTCAGTGGCAGTAAGCTGCAGTCTTTAATTACGGTATGTCAAGCGACTGACAATTTTGCATTCTATGTTTGTTCTTTGTGGCACTGTTTTCCTTTCTGTAAGCGTAGCCCCACCGTATCGTTTTCCTTACCAGAGAGAATTGCTCTCCGATTAAATTGTTTTTCATATTTTGTAATCCATCTTGAGTCTCGTCAATAGTGATAATAAGGCACTCGTTGAGTCAAGCGTTTTCTTTTCTCAGTACAGATAGATTCAGGTGGGCGGCCATGTTGGTCTGAAGCAATAGAACAAAGTTTGAGTCCAGGGGCACCTTGAAGAGCAACCAAATTTTATTCGGGGTATAAGCCTTTGTGAGCATGCACACTTCTTCAGCTACATATGTATCTAAAGAAGTGTGCATGCACAGGAAAGTTTATATTCATATGTATACATATGTGTCTGAAGAATACACGGGTATCTGAAGAAATTTGTCTGCACGGGAAAGCTTATATGTATCTGAAGAAGTATGTGCATGCACCCAATACGTTTGTATCTGAAGAAGTGTGTGTGCACACAAAGGCCACTAGATGGCAGCAATACTTTCCCATCTTAGCCATGCAGTTTCTCGGTTTGGTTTATCAGATGGCAGCTTCCCTTTTCCCTGTCTTAACCATGCAGCTTCTCAATTTCACCACCAGATGGCACCATTTCCTTTCCCTTTTTTAGCCTTGCAGCTTCTGGGCCTGGAAACGAACCGCTCTGCTTTCTGTGCCAATGCGGAGCGAAATGATATTACCTGCAAGGAAGCGGCGGCACCCAATTAACTGTGTGAAAGAGCAAAAATACGCATTTTCTTCTTTAAAAAGGAGTGGGAACCGCTGGTCCTTCTCTTAAAGCTCCTGTCGGCCTCCTCAAAATTATGCAAAACCGCCTGTTGGGACCCCCTGCTGAGCTGATTCTGGTTGGGGGTTGCCAACTCCAGAGCAGGGGGGGAAATCCTGAAGATCTGGGGGTTAGAGCCTGAGGAAGGCATGAGTTGAGGAAGGGAGAGATCAAAGAAGAAGAGGAAGAGGAGAAAGAAGAGGAGGAGGAGATTGGATTTATACCCTGCCCTTCACTCGGAAAATGTGAGCCGCTCACAGTCTCCCTTCCCTTCCCCTCCCCACAACAGACACCCTGTGAGGTAGGTGGGGCTGAGAGAGCTCTTTTGAGAGGACTGCTCCTGAGAGAACAGCTCTGAGAGATTTCTCCCAGATTAGAGTCCTCCACTCTTAATCACTACACAACTGCAAAGAGACTGGAACCAAAGCCTTCCAATGTTATACAAAGCAGAACAGAAGCCTCTAATCGGGCTGAACGGCTGCCTCATTCCTTTCCAGCTCAGCCAGTGGCGAGAACTATTTGCGGTCCTGAGGAAGTTCGACCGAAACCACTTATTTACATTCCGGAGGAGCGCTTCAGCAGCTCCGTTCTTTCTGCAGAAGGAAAAAATTAAAGAGGCTTTGCTTGTGAGAATCAACACTGGTTGGTGTCCATAGACGCTCACTGTGCCGTGGCTATTGACTGACTGAATTTATTCCATAAAATATTGAATACAAAGAGTAGATTCAGGTGGTCGGCCGTGTTGGTCTGATTCAGCAGCCAGTGACGGCCCCAGGTTTTTTCGCCCACTAGGCGAGGATACATTCTGGCGTTCCCTCCCCCCGTGCGGAGCGGGATGGGGGCGGGTGCTGGAGCCACGGCAGGCAGGCCAAGGGGGCGAGCTGAAAATGCATGCGGGGGGGGGGGCTGTGCCAACCTGCAAAAGGAGCTCCAAAGAGACTGCGGGGCCGGGGGCGGCAGAGGGTGAGCGGCACTTTCCCGTCGTCCTGGGCTGTTCCCCGCACCCAGTGCCGGATTTACGCCTAAGCTAAATAAGCTCAGCTTAGGGCCTCACAATCTCCTGGGGCCTCGAATAAAAACACAATATAAAAAATGATTTCAAATATTAAAAAGGCATATAGATTTTAAATTTTTCTGAGACCAGCTGATGTAATTTAAAACAGTAGGGGGGCTCTGGGTTTTGTATAGCTTAGGGCCTCAGCAAGTCCAAATCCGGCCCTGCCCGCGCCTGTCCTCCCCCCGCCTCCTTCTCTTTCTGTCGGGGGGGTTGCAAAGAGAGGAGTCTCTTGCCGGGGAGGGAGCAAGAAGCCGGCACGGGAGGATTCCCGTGCGGGGCGAGGAGGGGACGAGGCTGGCCAGAATGGCGCACTCATCGAGCTGTCGCCCTAGGCGACAGTCTAAAATTTAACAATGACGGACCGGCCCTGTCAGCAGCAGAACAAATTCAGAGTCCATTGGCACCTTTAGGACTGACCAAGTTTTATTCGAGGTCTGAGCTTTCATGTGCAGGTCACACTTTTTCAAATACATTGGAATGGTAGGTAAGGTTCAAACATATAGACAGGGGCTGACCAGCAAATTAACATGTAACGCGATGAAGATGTCCAAAGGCAGGACTAAATAACAAGCTAAGGTTATAAGGTCAACAGTTGTAAAGCAATAGATATGTCAAAATAGCAGATAAATGTGTAAAGGTGTCTTTTCTAATAACTCTCCATTCTCTCGTCTCAGGCGTGGAGGTCACAAAGAGTGTGATTTTTATTAATTATATCATTTTCCGTATTGTTTCGCACGGCGCTCGTTGTACTTTTCCCCACCTGGAGGTTGGCAACCCAACGTCTGCAGGAGGAATGGACGCATTCTGCCAAACTACGGCCTGTCGGTACAAGGGCGGAAGGAGAAAGCACCTCTGCAAATGATGTCCGGGAGCCCAATTTTAACTCTTTCTACATTTTTATTTACTTGAAGAAAGCCGCCTGCCTACAGAAACTGGTTATAGGATTAGAGGCCACTTAGAGCAGAAATAGACGCCCCCCCTTACTTTTGAAACTTGCATCAGATATGTATGCGTGTTACGATTCTGAAGAAGAGAGAAGAGATTGGATTCATACCCCGTCCTTCACTTGGAGTCTCAGAGCGGCTTACAATCTCCTTCCCTTCCTCTCCCTACAACAGATACCCTGTGAGGTAGGTGGGGCTGAGAGAGCTTGAAGAGAACTGTGACTGACCCAAGGTCACCCAGCTGGCTGCATGTGGAGGAGTGGGGAGTCAAACCCGGTTATCCCAGATTAGAGTCTACCCAGTGGCAGTGAAGAAGAAGAGAGTTGAGAGAGCTCTTTCGAGGACTGCTCTGGAGAGAACAGCTCTGAGAGAACTGTGGCTTGCCCAAGGTCACCCAGCAGCTGCATGTGAAGGAGTGGGGAATCAAACCCGGCTCTCCTAGATTAGAGTCCACTCAGTGGCAGAGAAGAAGAGGAGATTGGATTTATACCCCGCCCTTTACATGGAGTCTCAGAGTGGCTAACAGTATCCTTCCCTTCCCCTCCCCACAACAGACACCCTGTGAGGTAGGTGGGGCTGAGAGAGCTCTTTCCGGAACTGTCCTTGAGAGAACAGCTCTGAGAGAACTGTGGCTTGCCCAAGGTCACCCAGCAGCTGCATGTGGAGGAGTGGAGAATCAAACCCGGTTCTCCCAGATTAGAGTTTGTGTTCCTAACCACTACCCCAAACTGACTCTCAGGGACAATATGGTACTGGGTGCAGAATTTTGCCTCCTGGGAATTTCCCATTTTCATAGTTTTGGAAGTATAATGAGCGATGGCCAATGCTCTCTCTAAGCTGTGGACTCTTGTGAGCAAAAATCCTAGTTTTTGAGCTACTGGCATTAAAGTTGTGAGCAAGTGATTTGGCTATCGCATAAATTCGTCTGCTCTGGAGCCATCCTCCCTGAGCTAAGTCAAAAATGTGCGAGCCAGAGGCTTAAAAAACTGTGAGCTAGCTCACACTAACTCAGCTTAGAGGGAACACTGGTGATGGCTGATGAAAGCGCTTGACGGCATGGCTGGTCTAGATTCCCAGAGGCTGAGAAAGGGGCTCTGTTCGTAGCCACTTTCTCCTTCCCCCGGCAAGGCCCAAACAAGCGATTCAAAGAAGAAAAACAACATTTGCTCCGTTTGCATCTACCCCGTCTCCAATGCGGAAGGCCCTTTTCAAAGCACAGAACTCTGATTTTTATACAGCCCAGGGCTATTTTTGGGCAGGAACGCACAGGCACGGAGTTCCGGCTGGCTCCCGAGTTGGCCACGCCCAGCAGGAACTCATTAGCATGATAGGCCACACCCAACAGCAGGAACTCATCAGGATTGGCTACATTAGGGGTGTGTGGCCTAACATGCAACGGAGTTCCTGCTACAAAAAAGCCCTGGGTTTTGACCACAAACAAAGTAAACAGAATAAGAAGCAAAAGGTGGGTGTGGCTGAATAACCACACTTCTGGTATAATGGGGGTGTGGCCTAATATGCTAATGAACTGTGCTGTCAGGGTGTGGCCCAACATGCTAATGAGTTCCTGCTGTTGGGTGTGGCCTATTATGCTAATGAGTTCCTGCTGGGCTTTTTCTACAAAAAGTGCCCTGATACAGCCCATCCTTTCAGCAAACTGGAGCAATGAAAGGAAAGGGCCCCAGAAGAAGATAAATGACTTGGAAATGCCGGCAGTGAGACCAAGATTCGAGGAAGGGGGCAGGCGACGAGAACCCCAGCTTCAGACTCCTGGCCCAGGCGTCAGGAGGGCATCAAATGGAGCGGTCCCGCCTCTGCTGAAGGCCCACTATCCTGGCGGCCAAGAGGAAAGCCAGGCCCGTCAGGACCTCGGTGGCAAAGGAGAGCCAGGCGAACGCCACCGACCAGCCGAACCGGATGCTGAGGACGTCCAGGAGCCTCCTCCGGCCCAGAAGAAAGAGGAATTCCCTGTAGGCTGCCCTGGAGTACGCGATGTAGACGCTGACCCCGGCCAACGTGAAGAGAGCTTTAAAGAGATTACAAACACAAGACGTTTTACCGATGGTCCATCCCTTCCAAAAGATATTGCAGAGACGGATACGAATTACAAAGGGGCCCGCTGGAAATGTAAAAAAAAAGAAGACGGCACCTTTTACCATATGTGGTGGAGCTGGAGAAATATACATGAAGACATTCAGAACATTCTAAAAACCAAATTCCCAATGAAACCGGAGATTGTGTTACTGGGAATCTTACCAGACGACATAGACAGAGCCTCACAAGACCTACTTAGATATATGTTGACGGCAGCCAGGGTAATATTTGCAATGAAATGGAAAAGACAGAAGACTGCCCTATAATTGATATCTGGAAAGAAAAACTAGCTGAGTATGCAACATTGGCAAAAGTAAGCAATTATATAAACAAAAGACTACTGAAAGAATTTCTACAGAAATAGCAAGCTTATACTATGGGAATAGTGAATTTCTTTTTAAAGTTCTGGAAGAAGCCGGATATCATATTAAAGGTGATGAAGATATTGATTAGAGCTCCAATACTTGATTCTGTATTCCACTAGTAATTAAATAATCAGTAAGAATAAAATTTAGATAAACAATTAAGACAATATTAAGGTTTTCACAGGGATTCAGTTTTAGCGTAGAAGTTCATTCAGTTGTTAAAGATGTAATTTCTTTTATCACAAATAGATTGTCTCTAACCTTAGGAAAGCTCTTGTTTATTCTTTAAAGAAAGAATCTATCCCAAAATTCTGTAATGTCGATGTTTTAAGGTCTGCTTCCATATTTGAAATATGTGATATATTTTGCGATACGTCTGATCTCACTCGTTGTACGTAACAACTCATATTATTTGACAAACCTGATGAATTTATATCTTCCCCTACCCCCTTTTCCCTTCCATACCCCACCTTTTTCCTGAGAAAATATTTAAAAACATTTTTTTTAAAGATTATAAACACAGTCATCAGGGAAGCAGTGATTACCATTGGGCACTCCTCCAGGACAATAATCATTGGATATGGCAGTCCGTGTGTGGTACAGCCAAGTTTGTGATACAAGCAGGGCTTTTTTTGTAGAAAAAGCCCAGCAGGAACTCATTAGCATAATAGGCCACACCCCCACATTACCAGAAGTGTGCTCATCCAGCCATACCCACCTTTTGCTTCTTATTCTATTTACCTTGTTTGTTGGAACCCTTTGCATGTTAGGCCACACACCCCTAATGCAGCCAATCCTAATGAGTTCCTGCTGTTGGGTGTGGCCTATTATGCTAATGAGTTCCTGCTGGGCATGGCCAACTCGGAACTCTGTTCCTGTGCGTTCCTGCCCAAAAATAGCCCTGGATATAAGCAAACAGAGTATGGTACACAGTATATGGATATTACACTACACAAGGATTATTACTGTGATGTGCGCTAAACTAAATAATACAAAACTGCAAAACTCAGGAAATATGTGCTGTTTAAATAAGTTAAAGCGATATGCTTTTTTTTACAAGGTTGGAATACAAAAATACAGTCCGTTTCAAATAAACAGAAGTGGTTTTTAACTAAGCAAATGATGTTCACAACGTGCTCTGGAACAAGATTCTATCTACAAATAAATATCTTGTTGTAAATGTTTATTTGTAGATAGAATCTTGTTCAGAAGAAGGAAACGACACAATCATTGGATGGCACAGGACATTCCGTAGCACGTCGTTAACATCATTTGCGTCGTTAAAAACCACTTCTGTTTATTTGAAACGGACTGTATTTTTGTATTCCAACCTTGTAAAAAAAGCATATCGCTTTGACTTATTTAAACAGCATATATCTCCTGATTTTTGCAGTACTGTATTATTTAGTTTAGCGCACTTATCACGGTAATAATCCTTGTGAAGTTTGTGATACAGCCCAGCAGAGTGTGGGGGGGGGTACAGCCAGGTTCTTCCTAAGATTATCTGGCTGCCAAAAGTTCTAGCTCATTTTGCATCGTGCACCACTAGGTGGCGAGCTAGGGTCCCTCGGCCCTTCCCCACAGGGCTTGGTCTCCAGGCCCCCGAGCATCCCAGTCACTCTCTTCTGCGCCCGCTCCGTTCTGCACACATCCTATTTGAAGCCAGGACTCAAGTTCCGCGGCTTTCCACTCCCCGGCCTACCTCCGGAGAGAAAGACCAGCCCCGTCACCAGCAGGAAGAAGTGGACCTGGGCCAGGAAGCTGACGAAGCCGGTCATCGCTCCAAAGACCATCAGGATGAGGCTGAGTGGCAGGAGGATCACGAAAGCACCATGCATGTCTAGAGAGAGGAAGAGAGAAAATGTGAGTCACGAAGAGGAATCTTGCAGGATCTGATTGATAACTGGAACCTTCGACTTGTATCCTTCCCTGACCTGAGGGGCCCGGGGTAGTCCAATCTCAGCAGGTCTCAGAAGCTAAGCAGGGTCGGCCCTGGTTAGGACTTGGATGGGAGACCACCAAGGAAGTCCAGGGTGGCTACGCAGAGGCAGGCCATGGCAAAACATCTCTGAATGTGTCCTGCCTTGAAAACCCCATCAACTTCCAGTTTCCGGCCAAGAGGGATTTGACGCTTGTGGACTGTGCTCTGCTGAGACGGAGTAGTTTTTGTTTTGTTTTACTTTAGTTTTAGCTGCAATGCTTTTATACCTTGGAGGAGGGCGGAAAACGCCATCGAACCGAATTGGGGGGAAAAACCATTCCCCCCCTACACAACCCTGTGCGGTGCTTCATCTGAAAAGCCCGCCTGCACATGTGCAAACCAATGCTCCCTCTAAGCTGAGGAGTCTTGTGAGCAAAAATGCTACTTTTGTGAGCTGCCGGCATTAAAGTTGTGAGCGAGCGAGTTGGCTCCTGCATCGATTCGTTTGCTCTGGAGCCATCCTCCCTGAGCGAAGACAAAAAATGTGTGAGCCCGAGGCTAAAAAACTGTGAGCCGGCTCACACTAACTCAGCTTAGAGGGAACACTGGTGCAAACTCACACTGGATGGTGACGCCAGAAGTCCCCCGAAGGCCAGCGTAGGGGTAGAATCTGGTTTAGGGAGACTTCATAGGGAAATATCTGGAGATTTGGGGGGGGTGGAGCCTGGGGGGTGGAGGTTGGAAAATACATGGAGGTTTGGGGGGGTGGAGACTGGGGAGGGCGGGGTTAGGGGAGGGATGGGGCCTCAGCAGGCCCTAGAGTCCGCCCTCCAAAGCAGCCATCTTCTCCAGGGGAACGGCTCTTGGCCGTCTGGAGATCAACTGTAATAGCGGGAGATCTCCAGGTGCCACCTGGAGGGTGGCAACACGACAATGGAGTCCACCTTCCAAAGCGGCCGTTTTCTCCCAGGGGAAGAGAACCCCATTGCCTGGGGATCTGGCGAAATCCCAGGAGATCTCCAGCCGCTGCCTGGAGGTCGGCAGCAAACGTGAGACACGCAGATGACGTGAATACAAAAAAGGGGAAAGCCTCCAAATGATTTGCTGTTGTTGTTGTTGTTGTTGTTCAGTCGCACAGTCGAGTGCGACTCTTCGCGACCCCATGGACCACCTCACGCCAGGCCCTCCTGTCTTCCGCTGTCCTCCAGAGTCTGCTCAACTTCACATTCGTTGCATCGATCACACTGTCTAACCATCTCATCCTTTGCCGCCCCCTTCTTCTTTGACCTTCAGTCTTTCCCAGCATCGGGGTCTTCTCCAGTGAGGGCTCCCTTCTCGTTGGGCGGCCAAAGTGTTTGAGCTTCAGCTTCAGTCTCTGGCCTTCCAGGGAACAGTCAGGGTTGATTTCTGTTAGGATTGACCGATTCGATCTCCTTGCAGTCCAAGGGACTCTCAAGAGTCTTCTCCAGCACCGTAGTTCAAAAGCATCTATTCTTCGGCGCTCGGCCTTCCTTAGGGTCCAGCTCTCGCAGCCATACATGACTACTGGGAATACCATCGCTTGGACCACGTGGACTTTTGTTGGCAGGGTGACGTCTCTCCTTTTTATTATGCTGTTTAGGTTCGCCATCGCTTTCCTCCCAAGGAGCAGGCATCTTTTAATGTCATGGCTGCAGTCAACGTCTGCAGTGATCTTGGATCCCAGAGACGTGAAGTCTGTCCCTGCTTCCACAACTTCCCCTTCTATTTGCCAAGGAGTGATGGGGCCGGATGCCGTGATCTTAGTTTTTTTTATGTTGAGTTTCAAGCCAACTTTTGCGCTCTCCTCTTTCACCCTCAGCAAGAGGCTCTTTAACTCCTCTTCACTTTCTGCCATTAAAGTGGTATCGTCTGCATATCTGAGGTTGTTGATGTTTTTCCCCCGGCAATCTTAATTCTGGCTTGTGATTCATCCAGGCCGGCATTTTGCATGATGTACTCTACATATAAATTAAATAAGCAAGGGGACAATATACATCTTTGTCGTACTCCTTTTCCAATGCTAAACCAATCAGTTGTTCCATATCCGGTTCTAACTGTCGCTTCTTGACTCTTATACAGGTTTCTCAGGAGACATGTGAGGTGGTCCATCTCTTTAAGGACTTGCCATAGTTTGTTGTGATCCACACAGTCAAAGGCTTTAGCGTAGTCAATGAAGCAGAAGTAGATGTTTTTCCAAAGAATTAAACCTCTAAAAATACTCAAAAACACTAAATATAATGCATTAATTTTGGTTCTTGTTCTGTAGTTTTCAGCATTCAGGTTTTCTTTTCTGTTGTTAAAAATGGTTTGTGATTGTATGTGTATTTCATAGTTGTTACGGTTCCATCTTGGATAAAGCTCTGGTGAAACGAGGCGCTACAACAACGCCGGTTCGTCCCGTCATCTGGAACTAAACTCCTTGAGCTGCTATCGGAACAGAATTTTAAGTCTTCGGGAACAGAGGAGTCTACTCGCTGGGAGTACCGTTGGTGCATCAAGTGGGTTTAGAATTTGCAATTTCCATTTCAATCCTTTGTTCTGTGACTCATGAACGTGGATCTCTCCCTTTTTGCACAATTTATTAATATGAATTTCAAGATTCGTACTGAGATAGTTTTGTATGTTTGTTATTGCTGGTGATGTAAATAATCTTTACAGTTAGTGTCTTTGAGTATTTTTGGAGGGGGGGTTAATATAAATTTTTCTTTTAATATAACAGACAAACAAAGATACACAAACAAAAATACACATATCGGGAATTCTCGTCACATCATTTTGATCTAGTTATTGACCTCCTACAATATCCTGATATATTCATTGTGGGGTTTTTTCACCTTATAATTTACTTATATACCATTTGCTTACATTTCCTTTTATTCCAGTTAGATGACTGAAAGTTTTAGGATTTATACTCTTCTGTCCATTTATAAAATCTTGCCCAGGTATCTTCAAAATCATCTTTGTTATGTCCTCTCAGAACTGAGGTTAGGTTATCCAGAGAGCCAGTTCAGTGTAGCGGTTAAGTGCACAGACACTAATCTGGGAGAACCGGGTTTGATTCCCCACTACTCCACATGCAGCTGCTGGGTGACCTTGGGCAAGCCATAGTTCTGTCAGAGCTGTTCTATCAAGGACAGTTCTCTCAGAGCTCTCTCAGCCCCACCTGCCTCACGAGTTGTCTGTTGTGGGGAGTGGAAGGGAAAGAAGTTTGTAAGCTGCTCTGAGACTCCGTGAAGGGGGGGGTATAAATTCAGTCTCCTCCTCCTGCATCTCTGCTGTTTCCATTATTTTAGTTATGATTTCTTCTTTTGAGGGGATTTTGTTTCTTCTCCAGTACTTGGCATATAATATTCTTGCTGCTGTTACTACATGTATAATAACATAAAAGTCTTTTCTCTTTTTTTTTCAGTTCTCTGGTACGATATTCAATAAAAAGAGTTCTGGTATATACGGTACAGTATTTTAAAAATTCCTGCCAACCTAGCAGTTTGAAAGCAAGACATTGCAAGTAGATAAATAGGGACCACTTTGGTGGGAAGGTCACAGCGTTCCATGTGCCTTGGTGTTTAGTCATGCCGGCCACATGACCACGGAAACGTCTTCGGACAGTGCTGGCTCTTCGGCTTTGAAACGGAGATGAGCACCGCAACCCTAGAGTCAGACTCGATTGGCTTTCGAGCAAGGGAACCTTTACCTTTACCTTTATTTTTTAAATGCTTTTTGTGACAATCCGTGTATCTGAGACCAATACTTTTTAACTTTATCACAAGTCCACCACATAGGTGTATTTTTGGAGGTTTAATTATATGGAGGATTTCCCCCCCTTTTTTTTGTAGTCACCGCCTGGAGGTCGGCAGCCCTCCCCGAGACCCCCTTCTTTCCCACCAGACCAAAAGTGTTGGGGGTTCAAATCCTGCCAGGGGAACAAGCGCCACCCGGTGGGACTTGCCCACTGAGCAAACGCGTCCTGGATCCCAGCTGTGTTTGTTTGCACTTGGGCGAAAATAACTCTCGGTTTACCTTCTCTTCCCCCGCACATGTTTTTGTATAGGCAGGTAATGGATAACTGGGAATTCCTCGGAGCTCTCGGAAGCTTCCTAGGAGCCTCTGGGTGGAGCCCGGCCTTATCGCCTGTTTTCGGCCCAGGTGACAGCACTCAGATTTCTCTCGGATGACCCTTCCCACGAGGGTCGTCTTCCCAATAGCTGCGCAAACAGCGGGTTGCCGGGCACTTTCTGATGTTTTTGTGTGCCTGCCTGTTGTTGCCTTCCCACCGGTCGCAAGATGACCTTGGCAGACCTCTCCCCTGGCTTTGCTTCACTCTGTACCTGCAACCAGGTGGGCCCCACATCGTGCACAGGGAAGGGAGCCGTGCATCTCACAGCCACAGCTCCGAGGCGGTTAAGCCAGTGGGGAAAACACCGTGCTCGTGCAAGCCCCTCTGTGCCCGAGCAAACCCAACCGGTGTTCCCTCTAAGCTGAGTTAGTGTGAGCTTGCTCATGGGTTTTTTAGCCTCCAGCTGACATGTTTTTGTCTTCCCTCAGGAAGGAGGGCTCCAGAGCAAACTAAACCCAATCGCTCACTTACAACGTTCGTGCCAGTAGCTCACAAGGTAGAATTTTTGCTCACAAGACTCCACGGCTTAGAGAGAGCATTGAACCCGACATATATAAGAAATCACTTATCAAAATGACTTCAAGATGGAGGATAAGTTGTACCAAGGTATGGTAGGCAGGAAAAAGAAGGAGGAGGAGGAGGAGGAGGAGTCACTGCTGGACCTCCTGATGGCACCTGGTATTTTTGGCCACTGTGTGACAGAGTGTTGGACTGGATGGGCCATTGGCCTGATCCAACGTTGGCTTCTCTTATGTTTTATGTTCTCTTAGGAGAGCAGACTCTCAAGGGCAGTCCTCGAAAGAGCTCTCTCAGCCCCACCTACCTCACAGGGAGGGGGAAGGGAAAGAAGATTGTAAGTGGCTCTGAGACTCCACATGAAGGGTGGGGTATAAATCCAATCTCCTCCTCCTCCTCCTCTTCTTCTTCTTCTTCTTTCTCCTCTAGCAGAGGTCCACAAGGTATAGATGGGAACTCCCAGCCTGGGGCAAGGGATGTTCTGTATTCTTGGTGCTTGGGGGGGCAACAGTGGGAGGGTGTCTAGTGTCCCAGCCCCACTGCTGGACCTCCTGATGGCACCTGGTGTTTTTGGCCACTGTGTGACAGAGTGTTGGACTGGATGGGCCATTGGCCTGATCCAACAATGGCTTCTCTTATGTTCTTATGAAACGTTTCCCACAGCAAGTGGGCTGTCTCAGAGCCACGTGATATCCTTTCAATATCCTTTCTTATTTTGTTCGTCTCTTGTATAAATGGTCAGGGTCTGGGAAACAGGGGGGCAAAGGGGGCGGTGGCCCCCGTCCTTTCCAGTGCTGCTATGGCAACCAATCAGTGATTCAAAGACAGTCCTTCATCACGGCTGTCATTACACCATTATTCTCATTAACCAAACTGACAACAGTGCCGCGGTGCCCCAGCGCATTGGTGTGCAGCCACGATAGGCGATTTCGCCTCTGCTTCCCGCCTGCACATGGAAAGCTCTGGGCCTCTGGGCATTGCATGGCGAACTGAGAAGGGGGTTCAATAAAGAGAGCTGGCAGGGGCAGGAAATGTAATCGCCAATAAGCGTCGTCTTGTCATCCCAGCCTAATTTGTACGTGGCTGGATTCTCAAGTCTTGAGTTAGGATCGAACGTTGAGCCAAAGGGGCGCGGATCTCTCCGATTTCCATACCTTTTGCATCAGTTTCATGAGCAAGTTCTCCATCACTAGTTGTATTGCCAGTTTGGTGTAGTAGTTGAGAGAGGCAGGCGTCTAATCTGGAGAACCGGGTTTGATTCCCCACTCCTCCACATGCAGCCAGCTGGGTGGCCTGGGATCGGTCACAAGTTCTCTCAGAGCTCCCTCAGCCCCACCTACCTCACAGGGTGTCTGTTGTGGGGAGGGGGAGGGAAGGTCGATCGTA